AATGTTTGGATATATATCTTAGAAGAAAGAGCCCAGTGGTAAATTTTGTCATTAGATACATCAGTTTAAGACGTTATCTTCACGTGACTCCTGGAGAGATGATTAGGATAATCAAAAATACAGATGCCTATAAAGAGCAATCCTTTATCTTTGCTACAGAGCTGACCTGACACTGTAGTGACACCGAACATTTAATACAGTGCCCAACCAAGGAAAGGAATTTTGCACAATATTAGATGACAGAGTTGCTCCATTATTTAAGTACCACAGCGTTATTGGCCTGTCACAAGACTGGGGTGGCAGCTCGTAGGCTGTAACTCTCACACCTGCCTTTGAACAAGGTTCCCTCTATTATTACATATGGGATATTACTGCCTGCAAGCAGTAATTTTTGCTGCTGAATTTTGAATACAAATTTCCTCCCATCCCTCCAAACAGACACAGCAGTCTTCACTGACTGCCCAGACTGAAATAAGTCCTGACCCCACCTGGACCAATTACTTTCAGCAGCAGGGGTTTAGTTCTGGTACCTTTGCAGAATCCTTTCTACCGTTTTTTCATGTGCAGATGAGGAAACTCAGTTCGAGGAACTTGAACTGGAGGAAACATTTCAGTGTATGGCAAAGGACAGAGCTCATTTAGAGACATAAATTTCCTTCCCCTCATAATTAAATATTCATTCCTTAAGGTCTCTGAATGGCCCCCAAGTTCTCTTTTTCAGACCTTCTCCTTTTACTTGTATCCTTCATTCTATTGTTAAATTTTCAAGTCAAGTTAGATCAAGGTGAAAAGACAGTTTGTTCAACTGTACATTTCCAGGAGGAGCACATAATGTGAACAGCCTGAATGCAGAGAAAATAGCAGCTCTCCTTTGTTGCATTTCTACGGGGTGCATTTAGATTATAGGACAGCAAAATAGAGAAATTATGGGAAACTACGTCTGATTTTCTTTAGGAAAGTTCAATTGGCAGGAGCTGGTAAGAAACCAAGGCACCGAAATTTAAAAATATCTTTCATCTCACTGCCTTGTAGCACCACCTACAGAGAGGCCGTCAGAATCACATCCTGTGCCAAAACTCAGGGGCTCCCAGCTCACCGGCAAAACAAATCTTGTTGCTGTGACACTCCAGAAACTGCGAGTTTGACAGCTTTGAAACCTGCAAATATTCTGCTGCAGGATAAAGGCAATAACGTTGTCCATTTTGCCAGGAGTTCCTCAATTCCCGTGCAGAAAAAGCATCTCCAGCGATGACAGAGCTAACCCAGCTGCTTTGCCAATTTGTAATATAGAAACTTTCCTGTAGAAATTTTCTGGCAGCCAAGTGTCCCAGCTGTACAAGGACGGTGGGATTTGCCATGGCAAAATACATTTAATGGTCCATTAATCCTACCTTTGGCACAAGCCTATTGCTGGGGCTTCCAAGGACTGCAGTGTTTCACCTCCTCCATGTATCTACTCAATTACACAAGATAAAATGTCGTGGGGGCTGACCTTCATCTGACCAATGAAGCACAGGGCCTGTTTGCCCTTGATTTAGCCTCAGTAGCTGAAGAGGGGGAATACAGAGATCCTTCTGCCGGGAACTGGATGGAGAGAAAGGAGTTTGTAGTCATAGTTCAAAAGCTGGTTTTTGAAATATGGCTCTGATTATCTTCCCATTAAAAAGAAATGTTTAGCTATCCGCTCCAAAATAGAACTTTGAAATCCGGACTATTTCTGCCTCCCTTTGGAAGCGTGATCCAAATGCTACGGTAGCAAACAGAAAGTTCCCACCATTTTGGATTAGGCCCTGGATGTGGGAGGCAGTGGGTGCAGGAATGTGTGCATGCATGCAGCACTGCTATCCCATTGCTCATTAAGAAGTGCAGAACAGAACAGGCATTAAAAAAGCAGTTCAGAGGTCAAAGAAAGAGGCAGCACTCTGGGCAGCAGTAAATATATGGCAGTGAATTCCAGCACTAAGAAGCACCAGCCGAAATATTAGTACTTTATGCTCAGAAAGATATATGTAGGGATAGGTGCTGTCTTAGGGAGAGAAAATATGATCAATTTTATGAATGGTTTGAGTGCAACTTTATAATGCAGTGGTTTGCCCTTGCCTTGAATAATGCAGGAAAGATGTAAAGTGACCTCAGTCCTCTGAAGGTTAAATATCTTCCAATTTCTGGTCTACATTTATTCATCACCAGACAGGTCAGACCTACCAGCTTTTCTCTGTCTAGAAAACTAATTACAGAGCCAATCAGGTTGGTCTGACACTACCCACCTTCAGTAAATGCATGTCATATTTCAACTCTTTTCTATCTGTCATCATATCTTGTATTATTCTTCCCTGCTAACTTTATCCCAAAGTCCTGTACGTTAGTGGGATCAGGCTTGAATCATTTTTCCCCTATTTAAATTCTGGAACAATTTTTCCTGCTCTCACACTGTGTTCTGCTGCCCCTGCAGTGATGCTGTTATGTAGCCAGATACATTCTTGACAGGCGAGTCCTGCTAGGTGTCTGGGTCAGAAATTATCGTCCCATTATGATCTTTATGTTTTGTTCCACTTGCATGAGATAATTCCTATCTCCATGCATTCATTTCCTCTGTGTACATTTCCACTATATATTATGCATTCATCTGTGTCCTGCCTCTCCCTCTGTCATCACCTCTGTTTCTTCCCTACTTCAATTCCTGCTCTGTATGCCTGAAGAACATTTTGCTATTTGTTTTAATTTCCTTTGCGAGGTTTAACTCAGCTTTGCTTCTGGCAGATTTCCCTTTATGCCTACACTTCCTAGCTTCTAAGATGTAGTTTTCTTTGATTAATCCTTTTTTTCCATTCCTTCCAGTCCCTTTGCTTTTTCCTAATGTAACACTTTGAAGTGGTTACTCACTGAGTTAGCTCTGGACTGCTTCCTCACAGAGTTTTATCCCACTGTGTATCAGTCCCAAATGCTTTTTATATCCTTTGCTTCAATTCACAGCCTGCCCAACATTCAAAGCTTAGAAAACTGTCAGAAAACAACTAAAAGATGTAAATGACCGCTGTGCCTTGACTTCCAGCCTATTAGGGGCAGAAGGCTTCTCATGGGGTTCACAATGCCATCCCTCCAAGTGACAGATCCCAACCAGCTTTCTCTCTGTACGCATCCAGAACTAAGAGATCTCTGGGTGCACGTGAAATTCCACTCCACTTACAGCCACAGCAGCAATGCCAAGAGAGGGCTGGAGGATCGTTAACTGAAACTGCTCTCAGAATAAAAAATCGTTACAGTAGATTAAAAATTAGCATGAAGAAATGAAGCGTATACATGTATTTTTAAAGCCTCTGTAAGGCAGCCAAAGTGAAAACACATTTCACCAGACCACGAAAAATGAAATGCGTGTGGTGATCCTCATAAGGCTGCAGCTTATTTCCTTGCTAAGTTCCAAGTTTTGGGTCTCTCCCACTGAGCAGAAGTCTGCTTGAGAAAACTCCCCAGATGCCTCATGGCAGCAAAGAGATCCCTCTTTCTGTTTCTCACTGCACAGGTCTGCCCAAGTGGCTCAATAAAACGGGGCAACATTTTCAGAAAATGGGGCTGTGATTACAGCCTCTGCTCCTTCCATACGTGGAAACAGTAATTCTTGTTTTATTTGGGTGAGAATTGAAGCTGTTGATCACCGTCCCTGGAGATGTTCAAGTACTGTAGAACTGAGGGACGTGGTCAGGGCATGGCAGGGTGTGCTGGTGGTTGAACACAATGTCCTTAGAGGTCTTTTCCAACCTTAACGATTCTATGATTCCAACATGCAGCAGTGGAGCTGATGGCACTGAAGAGCAAAAAGCAGTGGGAAAAAAAAAACCAAATAAAATAAATCATTTTGGTCAGCCTTGTCGAAAAGCTTCTTCAGGAAGTCAAACCCAAAGCTGTCCTTGAAAATGGGCCGTCCATCTGGGAGCACGCGCTGATTTTTTGATGGTCAGAGTTGACAGAAAGACTTGTGTAAGATGGGGTGTTTTGTAGTTGCTTTTTTAACGGAAAATTAACTGAAAGCAAAGCAAATTTTGAGCAGTGGTGGGGATTCAGAGGAGAAAAATGAGAGAAGAGAAGCAGTGGAATCAAAATGGTCATTCTACAGTATTTTATTTTGAACCCAAACCGTGCTTGCTTAGGGTACTTGAAAGCAGCGAGAAGCAAAAGCACAGAATAAATTAACGGGGAAGCGTCTCTTGGCTCTTGGCGTTTCTATCAGTGCGGCCGTCGGGGCAGGGCCAGGCAGGGCCAGGCAGCTTGGTGCCATGAGCCCGGCACGGGGCGCGCAGGCCGCCACGCCCGTCCTTGGTCACAGCAGGGCCACCGCGGAGCTCCGCTGCCCTCCCACAGCCCGCTCAGGGCCGGGAGCCGCGGGTCGCTCCGTCCCGAGGGCCTCCGGCAGCCGCCCGCGCCGCTCGCGGCGCTCTCCGCCGCCCCGCCCTCGGGCACGGGCCAGGCGGAAGGGCGGAACGTTTGTGCGCGGCTGCGGGCCCGGGCGGGGCGGCGGAACGACGGAGCGATGCACCGCGCGGAAGTGAGCCGGGCCGCGGCCGGGGCCGCCGACGGATCCGGGGGGATGCAGGGGGCCGGGGGCCGGCCGGCGGCGGGGGGCTCTGCCCGCGCTCTCTGAGCGGGCCTCTGCCCGCAGGCCCCGGGCTCGGCCAGGGCCCCGCGCCCGGCGGACTGGCGCTGAGCGGCCCCGGGGCGGGGGTCCCCGGGCGGGCGGGCGGCCATGGCCACCCGGCGTCTAACCGACGCGTTCTTGTTGTTGCGGAACAACGCGGTGCAGAGCCGGCAGCTGCTGGCCGAGCAAGTGAGTAGTTACGGCTCCTCCAGCCCTCTGAATTCACGTAGCATGGCTGCTGCGGTGAGTCTCCTCCCTTCATCCTATGTACCTTGCTGCGCCGAGGGCTGCCCGCGGCCGCGCCGTGCCCGCTGCTCCGCGCCCCCCCCCCCGCCTTCCCCGCGTGTAGGGCGAACAGAAGAGCTCCGTGCCGATCCCTGCGGGTCCCTCCGCGAGCGCTGCGCCCAAAGCGCCGTTGGCCTTCGCGGGAGGTCATTGCCCACTGATTTCTTTATGCTTCTCCGGTGACAAAAACCAAACTTACTCCGGGGAGCGGAACTCTTCTATTCGCCTCCGTGTGGGCGCCGTTAAATGCAGTGCTGTGGGTTATTCGGTGTGTCCGTAGTGTCTCCTCACACCCGACACCTTTCCCCTCGAGGAAAACTGTGAGGCCGTGTGTGCGGTGGCCAGGAGGTGCCGGTGTGATGCCTTCAAAAAGCCATCGCTCTGTGGCCTTTTCTGTGACTTTTTGTATGTTTTGCTGGTCGCACTGCGATGGGAAACTTGAACATGGAAGACCAGAATTTTCAGAATAACTTCCCAAAACAGGCATCTACCAAAGCAGTTTCCTGGGGGAAATTTGAACAATGCTTAAAACTTTTGATTATAGCATTGAAGCTGCTGGACAGCTCGGCTTTCTGGGCTCTTAAGCTGCTTCTTCAAATGTATCATTTGTTTGGAACAGCGTCCAGTAAATGTCTGCCAGCAGTCTCATCTCCTTTACTTGCTTTGCATTCATGCGTTTTTGGTCAGGGGAAAAGCAATGCTTCATTCCACTGCATTGATTTCAGCTGATGAGTTGGCATTCAGCGGTCTTTATTCATTGTCCATTTAGTTACACCTGTATCTATACAAGCTGTGTATTAAATTTACTTACAGACCAGGCAGCATCAATAACAATGTGTATTGCAGTGTTTAATTTGACACTGCATTTGATTCTTGTTAACGATTATTTTGCCGATATCGATAGCATTTTTGATCATTGGAATTTTATAAATGTTAATAGAAAACAAGAGCTGCATGCATGCAGGCTGCTGAGCAGCGGAACTGCAGTGAGCACAGTAACATGTAGCATTTGCATGAAATGTTAATTTCTCATGTTTGTTAACATGAACCAAAGCATTTTCTGATGCTCGTTCCAATGCTGCCAAAGCCAAGTGGCTGGGGATTGGTCCTGGCTTGAGCAGCTGGTGGGGTTGATCAGAGGCTCAACTGTGCACACTTCCAAGTTCCTGTAAACACAGTGAGCAGGGCGAAGATGTCAATGTGAGCTCTTCACTTTTGTGTTTCTGAGGTGCTTATCACTATAGCTAATAGCTAATTACTTTTTTGTTTGGGCGCTGTCCCCAGGATTGCTGCACACCAGCAGGGCCGTCTTGCAGCCTGTAGCTCGTAGTGCTTGGGCTGGTCTTCGTTTGCTCTCCAAGCTTCTCCTGAAGAAATACTTCATTATGAGGGCACTGTGTCAGAAGCAGCTTCCTGCCTTGGGAGTTGTGTTCTCACACTGACAGTCAGCCACTCCTTAAGCTCAGCTAACTGAAGTAGCTTCCCTAACAGTACAGCTGTACTTGAGAAGCTGAGTGCAGGGTAGCAGAGGTCATTAACTGAAGCTCGCTGCTTTGGCAGACCACAAGTGTGCTGTCCTTGTCTTAGTTCTCACGTGCTAACACACCCCAGCAGCACAAGGAGTGATGAGCTGCAGATGTGTTGCACACACGTGTACTGATGCTACCTGAAACTGAAGTGTTTGCACGCGGGAGCATATGCCGCACTTGCTTTTGCTTTTCGCCATTTGCTGTCTGTTTTATCTTGTGGTAACTGAGGTGCTTATTGATAAATGTCTTACAAAGTTTGTATGGTTTGTAAACTTTGTTTGGAGAACTGTAATTCTCCAATCGGTGAAACCTTCAACTCACCCACAGATGTTAAACACTGCAGTAAAGTTGCTCTCGTTGTCGTGTTTGGCTATATTTCAGTGATTTCACTCAGAAATTTTTGCAAACCAGTTTTTAACCTGAAAAGCTTGTGTTCCAGGCAAAAGGCTGTCTCAAATATATCATGGTATTGTACTTGTTATTGAATAGTGTTGTTTTAAAAGTCCATTTGTTTTATTTGTTGTAAACAATTATGTATTTAAAACAACCACACCAGGCTACGAGTATTTTCCCAACTGACCATACCCTGTGTGTGTCCTCTGTGTCTTTTTTCTCTTTTACCTTTCGCTGTCTCTAACTGGACGGGGCTGATGGGATCCACAAATCACTTCAGGAGCTGGATGAGGTATTGTTTATCACATCTTATTTTGTCACACTGCATCAGGCACACATCACTGAGCAAAAATGTTCCTTTCTTTACAGTGCTAGCTTATTCCATTTCATTATATAGGAGGAGATGTACTTCTGTACAGTCTGACAAGGCTGCCAAGAGGAGACAGGCATTTTGTGAAATTACAGTACCACATTTATATGTATATACATGTCATCTAGTTTGACATTTTGTATCCATGCAGGATACAGTGAAGCTATTCACAATACTTTATGCTTTGCATTAATTATATAAACTCTGGTCAGGAGACAATGCTGAGGACAAAGAACAGGCTTTCAGTAAACAATTGCTCAGGAAGGAGGAAGGACTGGTTTATAAAAGAGGTGGAGAGCCACAAAGATTTCTGGGGCTGATGGAGAAAAATAAGAAATCTGGAAGAATGGGCAGTGCAGTAATTAGATATGTTTAAGCAGTATCACTTCTTTCTGTCTGCAGTAGATGAAGTTATCTCTGGAATTACAAAGCTGGCTTCAACTGACAACCTGAGAAAATTGATAATGTCTCCCAGTTTCATTTATAACCTTTTAGTACTTCAATCTACAAAATGGATTCTTATCTCCAAAATAGTCTCCAAGTATAGCATACCCTCTGCAACTGCTACAGTGCTGCTGTACAGCAGTGTGCCTGTCTTCAGTAATTTATATCTGCATCACATGCAAACACATGCTTGAAGTTCCTTTTTATGGGAGGAAAAGGCACACAAGCACTTTTCCTCAAGAACTGCCATCTAATTTGAGTAATGTTGATTTGCTGTCTCTTTCTAAGAATATATTTCTTTTATCTTCTGCAGCTTGCTGATGATCGTATGGCCCTGGTGTCAGGAATAAGTTTAGATCCCGAAGCAGCAATTGGTGTAACAAAGCGCTTACCTCCCAAATGGGTTGATGGAGCAGATGAAGTAAGTTGGATGGCAAACCCAACGCTGAGTTGTTTTCATGTAGAAATGTATTCCTGCTGTTAGTTATGTTGCCAACGCCGTAAGTTTTACAATAGAAGTATTAGAAGGTCTGTGTTTTTTCTAACTTCTGCCACTCCTGTTCAGAGAAAATATCAGGCAAGATGTCATTTATTTCCTGTATGTATTGCAATGAAATGAAGGAGATGGTCTTGGAGCAGAAATTCCTGAAAACTGAGCTGATTCCATCAGTGAGAGCCCAGTGCTGGTACTGCACTTGAACCAGCAGGACAGATAGTGCTATCGCTGAGCATTTCGACTTGAGGCTGCAGGAAGGGTCCTGAAGCTCTCAGCACAGCAGAATTCTTCTCAGATGGAGACTTTGAAGGGAGAGGACAAAAGATGGAATGCTTTCTATAGGCTTTGATTAAACACATTGAGGGATCCAATTGAATAGAATAGCAGCTTACTACTTGCAAAGAAGACTCTTCAGTGTCTTCTAACAAAGCTCTCCTGCTTGTGAGGTACAGATGAGCTGCAAGTTCTTGAACTATTTAGACAAATGTGAGGGAATTGTTCTGAAGACATCCAGTTAAGAATCTTCTCCAGTACTTGGAGTGCGAGGCTCCTACTTTACTTACAGAAAAACCATTTAAATTGTCCTCTCAGAACATGATCTCATTGGTTTTTGTGTGCAGAAAGGTGATCACTTTTACTAGGACAGTAATCATTCTTACAGATCTATTTTCATGGCTAGTTTGAGAGCACATCATTTAGCTTTAACTAAGTTCAGTCTGTGGCATGTTTGACAGAGTTTGAAGGTGTGACCTGAATTTTTATTTACATTTTCAGAAGTTGGCTAAACTTTTCTTACTATATTATATAATGATAAGTGTCGTATTGCAACTCAGTAAAGCATATTTGAGAAGAGCAGTCTTGGCATCTTAACAAGCGGAGGTTTAAAAATGATGAATTCAGATAAGTTTTCAGTTAGGAAGAGATGAACTTTTTGTGGATTTTTGGTTTTTTCTAACGATCTTTGGTCTGTTTTTTGTTAAGAGATTACTTTCTATATTTTGGCATTTGTCAGAAGCTTTTCTCTGAAGCATTACTCACTTTCCTTTCCCTGTTGTTGTGTTTGCTGTTTTAGATTCAGTATGATATTGCCAGGGTGAAACAGAAGATGAAAGAATTAGCCAGTCTTCATGATAAACATCTGAACAGACCAACACTAGATGACAGCAGTGAAGAAGAACGTGCAATAGAAATAACAACCCAAGAGATCACACAGGTACAGAGTACTTTCAATTCTGAACCTACAGACTGATGTATCTGTAACAGACATCATGGTGAGGCAGTGGTTTCCTTGGGGTAAAACATTGCTCCAAGTCAGTGAGCCAGAAGCCCTGGGCTCTTAGCTTGGTGCTGCGCTGACCATCTCAGTGAGCTCTGAGTGAGTGACTTAACACTCCCACCCCTGCAGACCTATTTTTACTTGCCTGTTTTCTTTTCTGTCTTGGAATGGATGGGAGATTTAATTAAATCATGTTTACAGCTACCTCGCAGAAATACACAAAGACATTCTATGGCTTTCAGTCCAAGCAGTTTCAAGGAAGCAAATGTCTTTGATCAGAAGTACCTGTGTTACTGTGCTATCCTGTTAGATTTATGTTTCTCATCTATATTCTGTATTTCTGTGTCCTTTTAAACATTGCACTGGGCAACAGTAAATTCAGTGTGACATTTAGACATGAGTTGCTGTATGTTTTTAACTAACTGAATTGTTTTCTCAGTTATTTCACAGATGTCAGAGAGCAGTGCAGGTCTTGCAGAGCCGGTCACGGACTTGCACTGAACAAGAGGCACGTGTTCTCAGGAATGTAGTGTCTTCCTTAGCACAGTCCCTGCAGGAGCTCTCCACCAACTTCAGGCATGCACAGTCTGACTATCTCAAACGTAAGCATCAAAGACACAGTAAGGCATGGGCACTGGTTGTGGAGAGCACTAATTAAGGCGTGCTTATTTTCTTGTTTAGGGAAGTATAGAGAAGTTAAGGGATATTCCCTGGACCACAAAAGGTATAATAGGGTGGAGATCAAATTCAGCAATTTCTGCTTCACAGCCTCTACCTCTCTATTTCATATTGCTAAAGCAAAAATACCAGTTAGATTCATCAATGAAAGCAGTGTGTTTCAGCCATTTACACTCTTAACATGTTATCACTTCTCAAATTGTGGTCTGCCCAGCTACTTCTGTTGTGCTGGTGGGGCAGCTGTTGTTTTTCAGAATGATACCTGCTGCTGATCAGTAGTTTGTGATAGATGAAACCTTAGAACGGGTCTGTGATAAAGTTCTGCAACTTTAAGCAGCTTGGAAATGGATTATTCTGATTCAAGTCTAATATTCAGTGGTTTTTTGGCAAAGTAATTTCAACTTCATATGTAATAACTGATCTTCAGATGTGGTACTGCAGTTTCTTCTTGTGCTCTAAATGGTAGAGGTGGAATGAGAGTCAGAAGGTTCTGTTCACACAGAATACAGAGTGATCATACTCTAAGACTCTTAGCTTACTTACTCTTTAACTTCATGGAGCATAATGACTTGAAATCACTGTGTTAATCTGTCTTGTAAGCGTGGTTGCATTTGTTATGCTTTAAGCAGTAAGCTTATGTGACAGTTACAATTTAGACACTGTCATTTATCAGGGATTTTCTTATGCTTTTCTACCTATTGCTTCAGACCTCATTCTTTCTCTCTCATATGTGTCACGTTTCCTCCAAAAGCTGTTGGAAAAATACTCTCCTACCTACAGCTTTTGAAGGGTGACAGAAAATCCGACTGACTTCAGCGTGAGTCCATTGTGCTCCAACACAGTTTGTCTTTCACAGGCATGAAGAGTAGAGAAGAAAGATCCAAACACTTCTTTGACACCTCAGTCCCACTGATGGATGATGGGGAGGATGATACACTTTATGACAGAGTAAGTTAAGATATTAAGCAAATTCAATTTAAAGAAGCTTCTTATGTTTCCAAGTTATTTTAGTGACCCTAAAACTCTGTTTGTAATGTACAGGAAGATTTTTCTTGAGTAGTTTTCTACTATTGAAATTCCAAAAGGAACCTTACGTTGTGAAATCTTATAATTGCTAATTATTGCTAACGTTTTCACTCTAGAACACATAAACAGCAATTAAATCTTTTCTTTCAACAGGGTTTTACTGATGACCAACTAGCACTGGTGGAGCAAAACACATTGCTGGTGGAAGAGCGGGAACGAGAAATCCGTCAGATTGTTCAGTCAATCTCTGATCTCAATGAAATATTTAGGGACCTGGGAGCAATGATAGTAGAACAGGTACATCAGCACCAGTGTCAGTGAGGCATGGGAGACCGCGCGTAGCGTTACGTTGGTTCAGCTCCTTGTGTTGTAATACGATGTTTTCATCTTGTAATATCATGTTTTCACTTTCCTAAATTAATTGGTTCAGGCTAAAGTTTCCTCTGTCTGTAATCTGTAAGAAAATGAGCTAATGAAGAAAAAATAACCATTTATGGGTATTAAACTAGGAAGAAATGTAGAATTCCAGATGCTGTTGATTATTTCCCCCAGAAAGTTTAGGTTTAATATGTCAGCCAAAAGTACCTGACCTGGGTCATAGCAGTTACTAAAGGCTGTGAGTTGAGATAGTGACAGAGCTGCCAGTTAGGCAATAAGCCAAGAAGGTCATTTCAAGATAGTCCAACTAGATCTTCTAATGAGCTGTTTACTGTAAGCATTATTACTCTGCTGCTCATAACCACAATCTTTTCAAAGTTTATTTAGGTTCAGCTTGATCCTTCTCTCTGTTTCATTTAGGGAACAGTTCTAGATAGAATTGACTACAATGTTGAACAGTCGTGTATCAAAACTGAAGAGGGTTTAAAACAACTACATAAGGTAAGCTGGTAAAATATAGGCTGTTTGCATATCTAGTTATCTCAATGATAAAAAAATAATGATTATTCAGAGACTATAAAAAAGAAGAATTAATATTTTTTCCTTTTAAAAATTCAGTGCTTATGGATTTTAAAAAGAACTAAATGCAAGTTTTTGTTTAGTTTAGTTCCTGTTAGCAGTTTCATTTGGCTTTTGGAGAGTTTTCTCTACATTTTTATTCCCTGGGAAAAGGAGGAGAGGGATGAGAAGAGGTGATTAGAAGAAAGAAGGAGTGAACCGAAACAAAGTGAAAGCTTTCAGTTCTAATTGAATGTAAAATGCACAGCTGAATCTGTTGCAATAAAAATGCCAATTAAAAAATGAAGCTTTTAACAATGAGTGAAAAATATCTTACCAACTTTTTCCATTTGGACTTCCACACATCCAGTGCCTTCATTTTATTATTTCCACTGTCCGCGTAGCTCAGTTCCACTTTAGATCAATCGTTCTGTGCAGCTCATGTCCTGTGCAGGCATCGCACCTTCTCAAGGACTTCAGAAAAGTCTCAGTAAGGTTGCATAGCCAATAGGAGGATGCATTATTTTCTGTAGTGTTTCATATTTAATGTGGATAACTATGACTTCAGTCTGCGCTTTCCTTCACTGCGGTCTTTGGTGCAGGCTGGAGTTAGCAAAGAGAAATCGAGGTGCATGTCTTCAGTATGCTGAAGAGTCCATGCTTACATCTTTGCATAAATTGAGGCACTAACTCTTTCTTTTCTGTTTCTACAGGCAGAGCAATATCAAAAGAAGAATCGGAAGATGCTTGTTATTCTAATTTTGTTTGTTATAGTAATTGTCCTCATTGTTGTTCTTATTGGTGTAAAGTCACACTAGGTCTCACTTAATTTTCTTATTTTTGGAGTTTACGTGAACTTTTTTCCCCAATGTGAATGGATGGACCTGCACTCAAGAAAGCTGCCTTTGAATGTATTCGCCCTCGTGGTACAAAGTCTGTGCAATGCTTCTGTAGGATTCCTCAAAGTTCAAGTTTGGTGACTGGTGAGGTGTTGGTAAAGAGCAGATGGAGAACGTCAAGAAATCTGATGCTCTCAAATGAATCATTCGGTTCCTTGTCCAGAGGTATTTGGAAACACGTTGCTTAAATAACTACAGAACTGTAATTTATTAGTGAGTTTTGTAATTAGTTTGTTACAGTGAGAAAGAATATGTTGTCTTCTGAACTGCCAGTTTTTAAGGCTTCAAATTTAAACCATGTTCCTGAGTCATGGGACTACAGCTGAGGCACAAGGCACGAAAATGTCTGACCTCATTTCTTCAGACTCGAAAACTCAGAGGAATTGGAGATGAATAAGATAGCTTTTAACAGGCAGAGCCTAATTCCATCCCTGTGATCTTAATTTAGATATTGCATCATTACTAAGAATCAAAATAGTATATGATCCTGTAAATAACAAGATTTAATCACTGGTGTAATTTAACACATTTAGCTAATTAAATTTTTTTTGAGCTTGAGCAATCATGAGAACATTTTTTTTTTTTCTTTTTACCAGAAAGATCATGCATTTTTATGTGCTTTAAAAAAAAAAAGTACTGCCATTACATCAAAGTGGTGATGAAGTTAAACCTGAAAAATAGAGATTTCCCCTCGGCTTTGTACACAGTGTGACCTGCTCTGGGGGCTTTTGGCTCTTAGCTGTTTTCTAAGCTGTTTGTTTTACTTCTGTCCACACGTGGTCTTACATATGTAGCTTTACTGCAATATGTATTAGATCCATTTTCCCATAGCAGTTTTTTTTTTCAAATGCCTGCCTAGAAAAGGATGCATTTTGGGTCTCCTACTGACCGTGATGCCATGCAAGTGATGTGTCCTAGGAGGCCTTCAGTGGAAAATTACCTGTTTATTTTTTTAACTTCTTGCGGTGGAAAACTTTGCTGTAGGCCATAAGAGATGAATTAGAGAAACATCTATGTAACAGAGGATTCATATTTCAATCCAGGCCTGAAGTAGTGTGCAATTGTAGAGGCCTTGCCTTAATATTTTTAATATGGCTCTTCTGTATGGACTTTTCCCCCAAAGAAACTGTAACTTAATTTCCTCCATTTCTGACTGATGCAATGCTCCCCATAAACTTGCAGAGGTGTTCTGCTCAAATGCCCTGAAGTGCAGTTTCGTAATATGTGCTATGATTTTAATGTTGCACCTGCCCTGAACTTGTGTTTACAATGTACTGAGGAGGTCCTAAGATGTGGGTTTAAACAGACTCGATGCAGGAACAGGCCTGAAAGAAAAAGACTACAAAAACATGTAAGCTGTGGCTTATTGCGAAGAGATTTGTACCACTGTGTTACCTCCAGACAAAGGGGATGCTGAACTTCCAAAGCTGCCAGTTCAAGCCCTTGTTGAAATTCACACAGTAGATCAGTGGAAGAAGTGCTTCTAGTTGGGTGTGCAGTCCCCCTGTTCTGGTAATAGATCTTCTCAATGATCGTGAGTAAAACTACTGTCTCCCTAGTGTGCTGGCTACATCAGTTGGTGTGAAGCAGCATATTGCTATAATTTAATATTCTGTATTTGCAACTTTCTAACATGAGAACGTGTTATTTATTTCTGTCTTGACTGGTGCTTTTGACATTTTATCACGGCTAAAGGATTCAAAGAAGTAATAAAACACTTCCAACCTAATTGGTCAGTTCCTTTTTCTTAAAATAGTGTAAGCTGAAGCAACTTCTTGTGATGTTAATGTCTCCATATATTCTTCAAAATTAAATAAAAGCAGCAGTGACATGCAAATATCTGATTTTTTTTTTAACTTTCTGCAGCACAATTGCATTGTCAAGTGATTTTCATCCCATGTAGTCCCCATTGAAATGCTTTGAAATAGCTTAGCTGAAGTAAATGACTACTTATTTGCTATTTAAATTCTGTTAAAGGAAATACACTTTGTTAACATGCACTGCATAAGAGGTTGAATTCCAGTGTGAATTGTCCTGTGTGACTTAAGCTAGTTTGACTTGAAGCTGAATTTATTTAAAAAAACAACAACAAAAACCTAGGCCTCTGAATCACTTCAGATGTGTGGTTTGCTGCAATTCAGTCTAAATTATTTATAGCTAGAGCATAAACCCTTATGCAGTGCTTTGTAAGAATAATCTCTACTTGGAATAGTATAGAATGGAAAGCATCAGTTTCCAAAGAAGCCGCTGCACCTGAGAAGTAGCTTGGCTGTCTGCTACCTGCTCAGGTGTTACAGGAGCAGCAGCTGCCTGAACCTACTGACTGCTTCTGACCAGCCCTGTAACCATCTCTGCATGCTGCTCCAGAGAGATGGCGTACGGTTCTGCAAGTTGAGGCTTCTTTGTGGTTGCTGGATTCTCTTCCCAGGTTGTACTGAACCTCTGACAGCTTACAAAATGCAATGGGAAACTGTGAGTCCAACAGAGCAGTGCTGCTAGAGCATCTCACAAGAACCCATGGCTCCCCACCTGGTGTGAATGACCTATAGAGCTGTTGGCTTGTACAGAATTGCTCCATTAAATTGCTTGCAAGCATACAAAAATAAACTCCTTGTTAACACAAGTAATTCTAGGGATATTTGGAAATGACAGTATTACAAACACTGTAACAGTGAATTAACCTCTACTGCAAAACTGTAGAAATGGAAAAGAAAATGGAACAATCACTTTGTTATTTTTTCCAAATAAGTTAGATAATACTCATTGAAACAGGGAATGCATAATGCTTTTACATATTAACTATGGTGGAATATGCAAGGCTGCTTGAATGATGTAATTCTATAAATACCTGCAATTTCTGGAGGATTAATAACTGCTGTGCCTGGGCAAGGCTGGTCTGTGGCTCACAGGAGTACAAATGTTTGCAGCTGCTCTTAGTAGAAAGCAAGTCAAACTTCTGCACTACAGATAGAATGATGGGGAAAGTCAGTTCTATTTTTTTATTAGGACTCTGCTGCCCTTAATGAGGGAAGGGTCACGGTTTAGATGGCAACTGCCTACTGCTTTGTTTCTTCAAGGTACTACACATTCGAGGACAGAAGTGTACTATTAACCTTGCAGCAGTAGGAATAGCAGAACGTATTGCATGACAAAGGCTTTACTTGGTAGAATTCTTTGAATGTCTCAATCCTGAAATAATTCTGTTATTTTATTTCATATTTCCCACACTGTCCATATGAACTGAGATAATAACCCCAAACAGCTCATGTTCTTCGGCTCAGCAGAGACTTGTGAAAGTTGGCTTACATATCTCTATATAGAGTGTTACTTAGTGCTGGAGTTTGGACTCGTTTATGGGGTTATCCCATCCACAATTGACCTCTGCAACTGATCTTGTTAGACCCTTAATTCAGGCTACTTTAAAATGTATTGGGCAATAAAAGTTTCCATAATGTCCCTTCGGCGGCCCAGTAAAACTAAGTCTTTTTTCCTTTTTTTTTCTTTTTGTTGTTCTGGAACCCAGCCTAATACATTCTTTCTTCTCAGATGCACTTCCATTATTTGCATCTCCATTTACTTCTGCGGGGTAAATGAAGCACACTCAGTCCCTTTGTGAAGCCCAGGCTTTCCACACAGCTGCAGACCCTTGACTGGGATTCCCTGCTGACACAGCGTTAATGGGAGGCGCTCGACAAGCGTGACAACGTGAGGATAAATACCATACTGAACACTACACGCACAGCATTAACGCTGGAGCCTGGAAAGCACTGCTTCCCTTGTGTGACTCCCCATGCTACAGCCCTGAGTGCGCTTTGGCCGTTTCCTCTGCTCTCGCCATGTCTGTAGAAGCACGTTCCGTCTGACGTTTAGCTTTTCCATTGGGATCCCTCTATAGTTTTACACCATTTCCATCCCTGAGCGAAACGATTAAAGGGAAACAGAGGTTTCCAGTGCATCCCGGTGGTCTGGGAGCTGCGTGGCACGCTGAGAGGCAGCGGGACGGCGGCGCCCAGCAGTGCTTCTCACAGCCCGTTCCCGCCACGTTCCGTCCCGTTCCCGCCCACCGCTGCTCGGCGCTGCCCCACGCCGTGAGGCGCCGCGCACATCCGGGCCCCGCAGCGCCGCCCGCCTGCCGTGCCCGGTGCGACCGCCGGGGGGCCGCTGTGCCGCCCCGCCCCTCGCAGCCGGCGCTGGGCGGCGGGGCGGAGCCGTACGGGCGGGCCGGGCCGCGGGCAGGAAGATGGCGAACGTGCAGCTGGAGTTCCAGGCGAACGCCGGCGAGGCGGACCCGCAGAGCCGCCCGCTGCTCGTCCTGGGCCAGCTCCACAACCTGCACCGCCTGCCCTGGGCCCAGCTGCGGGGCAAGCTGCAGCCGCGGGTCAGCGAGGAGGTGAGGCCGGAACGCCGGAACCCCCGGGCCGCGGTTCCTCCCGGGGCCGCGGATCGCCCGGCCCGGCGCCGCGCGGCCTCGGGGTGCGCCCAGAGTCGGGCCCGGAGGGTTCGGGCCGCCCGGGGCCGGGAGCGGCCGGGAGAGGGAAGGGGCTGCACGGGAAACCCGCCCTGGGCAGCGGGAAGGGCCGCAGCGTTACGTCTCGAGCTTCTGAAAAATCCGAACCGAAACACGCGGTGTCCGCTGGAGCAGCGGGGCCGCCGCGGGCCGCCGGAGCCTGCTGTGGGCCGGCAGTAGCGGGCGGAGCGCTGCGCCTCAAACCCGGCGTTCCGCTGCCCCTTCAGCCGCTATGACGGCGGAAAGTGCTGCTCCGCGGTGACAGCACGGTGGCTGCGATTAACGTAATGGTGAAACGCAGGTTCTGTGGCGAGCTGGAGGCCGAGTCTCGCTGCCTGCAAGGGCTGAGAGGTGCGTCGTCTCTTTCCCCCTCCCAGCCTTCAGCTCTTGCTCTGGAAATTGGGGACCTGTTTGTATGTAGAGGGTGTTGATGGATTGCTGTGAAACGAGAAATATTTTATGTCACAGCTTTTAGGATGCTCGAGGCTTGGAGGTTTCATTTGTTGGGCTCCTGGGCGTCTTATGACAATTTTTAGCCTTCTTTTGTTGTTGTTGGTTTTAATTAAGTTTCTGTCTGAAAGAATAACTTGGGATTAGTAAATCAATCCCTCCATTTATCACTGGTGAGATGGCCTCAATTTAAAAGCCTCTGGAGCAGCCTTTGCTCTTACTGCTGTGTTTTTAAATTGTAGTTCGTGTGGCTTAAAAGAGATCCATGTAATGGAAAGCACATATTTGCTTTCTAATTAATAAAGGTCCACCATATTTCCCATCTCTTCGCTCTAGAGGTTGTTGCATTTGAAAGGGCTGGCCTAAAATCTTTGTTTCCAACACCTGAAATCTTACCATTCGAGATTGCCTAAATGGAGTCAGAATGAGACTGTAGTCAGAAAGAAAATTCTGTTACAGTTCTTGGTTTCAATTTCTTCTTTTCTCCTCAGCTCTGGCAGTCTGCATTAGGCACCCTGAACCCAAACCCCACTGACAGCTGCCCGCTGTACCTGAACTACGCCACCGTGGCCGCGCTGCCATCCCGGGTCAGCCGGCACAACAGCCCGTCTGCAGCTCAGTTCATCACCCGCCTGGTTAGGAACTGCCTCCCAGGAGGTGTCAACAGATGCATTGTGGTAGGTGGCAGCTTGCAGGTGCTGCTGGTGACGTGTCTGGTAAACTTTGTTGGCTTGTCAGGATTTTAGCTGTATCTGAGGAGACTGGAGGTGGGCGAGTTTTATCTCTGTAATTATAGCAGCATTTATAAATGGTTTTGTGCTGGGACATAAATGAGACCTAAGTGTACTAGCTTCTGCATGCTCACACAGTTGAAAGGAATTAAAGCTGAAAATGTGTGGAATGTCTACAACCAGTAACGTTCATACAAAGGGAAGCAGTAGTAGATCTTTCCAAACTAGGATTTAAGACATTAGCACGTGGTGTGTGTTGTGCTTCAGAAAGTTAACGTGAGCTCTGGATCGAGTGCAGAGTGTCTGCATCACATAACCCTTTTAAGGGGCTGAGGTTTAAAAGTCTCAATGCATACTAATGCTCCAGCACAAGTCGTGTGCAGGAAGAGTTCTTGCACTGTTCTGGTCCGATGAATTTGTTACTTTTTTCTAATTCTTCCAGATCCAGAGTTCCAGCTTAATGCAGAAAGCTCATGTAGTCAGTATCAGTAACAAATCTAATTTTAAACTCCATTTATTTTCAGGAATTATAACTCTGCCTTTATTTTTCCCTTATGGCTAAATTCAGAGATATTTAATTAAAGCTGCTTTCCACTGGTAATCTCTGTAATGAACTTCAGAAAAACATTCTGCGTGTTAGAAAGCTTTGGGTTAATATTAACTGCATTTTCATACAATCACTCACTTTGTTTCAAACACACATTGATAGTTCCCTTGTTTTTTTTATAGGCTGACCTGTGTTAATTAGACAAGTATAATTAAGACAGTCCAGATCCATTAGAAGAACTGCTAATTCCTGCACAGTCATGTCCAGTATTGTAATTCTTTTCCATGTGGGAAATGAACTGAACCAGTTATTTCAGTGTGCTGCTGTTTGCAGTGCTGCCCATCCATGCATGGTGTGATGTATGAGCATGTCTCTGTTCGTACATCAGTTCTGCTTTTTGCCAATACTATATTATGCTATACTACAATACTAAGGGTAATGAATCCTTTTAAATGCAGTCTCCCAATGGCCCTGCTGTTACCTGACTTGTTTGT